GCGCGTCGCCCTTCTTAACGAACTCGTACTGGCCTGCGATGGTGTTAATGCTCATGTCCGAATAAAGAGACCAGACAGTGGTACCTGGTAGCTTCTGTCCAGCAAGCCGGAAGGCATCTCGGATGACCTGTTCGTGCAAAACACCCCTAATCTCGAAAAGAACCTGGTTCACAGCAACTCTGGCTGCCCAGTGATCGAAACTACCCTTTCCTTTACCCATTCTCATCTGCACGCACGTCCCGTTAGCATACCTGTCTGAACCACTTGGGCAGGTCCAATCGCGCTCACTTCGTTACCGCTGACGTACACGCCGACGTTACAGGCAACCCTCTTGTACAGCCGATATTTCTGACCACGTAAACGCTGCTTGATGGTGTCCTCGGCGAGCTTGAGCTGGCGCGCGCTGATTCTGCGATGGTGGTCAAACATGCGCAGGCCGTAGTCTCCCCACACCACCGTTGTGCCCTTTGTCGATCCACCAGTCGGTACTCTGGGCCGCCCCTTCATCATCTTCTTCTTGCGGTCAATATTGGGCTCGAGCCATGACCCAGCCCGGGCGGCCGTAGCGGAGAATAGCCTGACATGAGGAGCGACGGCGGCCGAGATGCGCGGCGAGGCGGATGGCCGACAGACGGTGGCAGCAAGGGGTGTTCGTAGAGTCGTCGAGGGCGATATCCTGAGGCCTTGGAAGGCGCTCAGCAGCGCCGACGAAGCGTTTTGCCTCATCGTGGTGGAATGAATCGAATTGGTCGTTATCGACTAAGCTTGCTCTCGCTGTGTTCTGCCGCTTGCCAAAAACTGGAATCCACACTGGGCCGAGCAGCGGCAGCGGCCAAGCTCCGGCCGGGAAAACATCGGACAAAACAAAACTGTCAAACGGTTCCAGGGGTGGCTGCTAGCCTGAGCTAGGCAGCTTTAGCGTGGATTTCAGCGTCCTTCCGTGCTGTGCCCCACCACTTAAGTCACGTTCTGGCGCGACATTCAGTCGTCTAAGCACCCTGACCCGCGTCACTTCGCTTGGATTTCGCGTCGACGATTTCCAAACCGCACACGCCCCCCATCGTCCAGGCTTCACTTCGCTGCCTGGCTTTGAATGCAACCAACAGATTCGGTGCTTCCAACATCGACAATGCTATAAATACCCATTGTCGGTCAATTGACGAATTTTAGAATCTTTTTTCCCAAGATTCACTACTCCATCTGTTGGTCCTTGTCGTGTCGTCTTCAGTCCGATCGACCATGCCTGACATTCGCTCGTTCTTTGGGCCAAAGGGCGGCGCTGCGCCCGCAAAGCCAGCACCCAAGAAAGTGGAGGAGCCACCCAAAAAGGGCCGAAGCAGTGCGTACTTGATGGTCTGAATCTGTGGCGACGGCTTGGCTTACTGATACTACTGCAGAAGGCCGAAAAGTCATCGAGGATAGCGACGAAGAGGAAGTTGTAGAGTATGTGCCCGGCATAGATCGCAGGTGGCCTGTAATAGCCAGCTAATGCTCAACAGGATAAAAAAGCCAGCCAAAGCTACCCCGAAAAAGAAAGCAGCGTAAGATATGCCACTTGCCTGCACTGCCAGACAACAAGTTTTACTAACCCCTTTTCCAGGGCTCCTGCTGCTGTAAACGGGGTCGAGATCTCCGCCTCCAAATACTTCGCATCGTCCAAGGCCAAACCAGCCGAACCACAGACAACCCCGAAAGCTACAGCCAAGACACGAGTAGTTGCCGATGTTCCCGTTCGCGTAAGCCCGCGTACGAAACCGACTGTGGAGCCAGTCCAGGCGGCAAAGAAGGGCGCCAAGAAGAAGTCGACTGCTACGTATCAGAAGCACACTCGGGATGATGATGACGCCTTTGAGGATAGCGACGAAGATGCCGGAGATGATATCTTTGCTGCCGACGTTAAGGGCCACAAACGGAAGAACGATGTCTACCTCGACGAAGAAAGTGAAGAAGAGTTTTTACCAAAGCCTAAGCGGGTCGCCTCCCGGGCCAGATCTACGCTCAAAGATAACTCTGAAGACGAGGTGAAGCAGTCACCCGCCAAAGCCACCAAGAAGGCACCTGCCCCGGCCAAGAAACGGAAAACGTCAGTCTCGGACAGCGAGGATGATTTTGAGGAGATCAAACCTGCTAAAAAGGCAGCCCCGGCTAAGCCACGGGCCCCGAGGGCCAAGAAGGAAGCCGAGCCCGAGCCTGACGAACTGCGAGATATTCTAGATAATGTTCCTACAGTCGATGCGCCGGACGCGCCGCCACCAGACCCTGATGTAAAGTTTGACTGGAGGAAAGCCGGTGCGGGTGGTGGCAACTCAGGACCGCCTCCTATGGCCGGTGCCGCTGAGATCCCAGAAGGAGAGGAGGATTGTCTTACGGGCAAAACATTTGTGTTCACTGGGTTGCTCAAGACGCTTAGCCGAGAAGACGGCCAGGCCCTTGTCAAGCGGTACGGAGGCAAGGTTACTGGGGCACCGAGTAGCAAGACCGACTTTGTGGTCCTCGGAGATGATGCAGGGCCCAGCAAGCTTAGAAAGATCAAAGAGCATGGAATCAAGACGATCGACGAGGCCGGACTGTTCTATCTCATCAAATCTATGCCTGCGCACGGCGGTACCGGAAAGGGTGCCGAAAAGGCCAAGCAAAAGCGAGAGGAAGAAGAGAAGAAAATCCGTGACGAAGCAGCCGCCATGGAGCGTGAGGAGAAAGCACGCAAGGCAGAGGCAGAGCGGGCGGCAAAGAAAGTGGCTGCCGCTCGTGGAGCTTCAGCGCCGGTACCGGTACCGGCTCAACCGCTGTCGCAGCTTTGGACGACTAAGTACGCCCCAACTGCTCTGAATCAGATCTGCGGAAACAAAGGCAATGTTGAGAAAATCCAAGCTTGGCTTAAGAATTGGCCTAAAGCGCGGAAATACGACTTCCAGAAAAGGGGTGCAGACGGCATGGGCGGCGCTCGTGCTATTATTATATCTGGTCCACCTGGCATCGGCAAGACGACCGCAGCCCACCTTGCGGCCAAGCTGGAAGGCTACGATGTTATCGAGAGCAATGCTAGCGATACTCGCAGCAAGAAACTTGTCGAGGGTGGCGTGAGTGACGTTATTAACAACACATCCCTTCTGGGCTTTTTCGCTGGCGATGGCAAGAAGGTCGACGAAGGCAAAAAGAAGATTGTCCTGGTCATGGACGAAGTTGATGGTATGTCGGCGGGTGACCGCGGCGGTGTCGGTGCGCTGGCCAAGTTCTGCAAGAAGACGGATGTTCCACTTATCCTGATATGCAATGAGCGCAGGCTACCCAAAATGAAGCCTTTCGATCATGTCGCCTTCGACATTAAGTTCCAGCGACCTACTGTTGACCAAATCCGGTCTCGAATCATGACCATCTGCCACAGAGAAGGACTCAGGTTGCCACCGCAGGTTGTTAATGCTCTCATCGAGGGTAGCAACAAGGACATTCGACAAATCATCAACATGATATCGACTGCGAAGCTGGACCAGACCGTGATGGACTTTGATCAAAGCAAGGCAATGACCAAAGCATGGGAGAAGCACGTCGTGCTCAAACCGTGGGATATCTGCCAGAAGATGATAGGCGGCGGTCTCTTTGGTTCGGCCAGCAAGGCTACCTTGAATGATAAGATTGAGCTCTACTTCAACGACCACGAGTTCAGCTACCTCATGATCCAGGAGAATTACTTGCGTTCGAGACCGGCGGCGTTGGGTCAGAAGGGCTACAGCCCTAAGGAGCAGAATCTCAAGTATCTTGAGCTGGTGGACCAGGCGGCGGAGAGCATCAGCGACGGAGACCTGGTCGATCGTATGATCCACGGTCCTCAGCAGCAATGGAGCTTGATGCCTACTCATGCGGTTTTCAGCACCGTTAGGCCGTCGAGCTTTATTGCCGGACAGTTTGGCGCGCAACCTACGTTTACGTCTTGGCTGGGCAACAACAGCAAGTTTGGCAGGCTGGGTCGCTTCTCTAGGGAGATTCACTCACACATGCGTCTCAAGTCCTCTGGCGACCACAACGAGATCCGCCAGCAGTACCTGCCCGTGCTCTGGCATCAGCTCATCAAGCGGCTGGAGATTGAGGGCAAGGACTGTGTTGAGGATGTCATTAATCTGATGGACAGCTACTACCTCACGCGCGAGGATTTCGATTCGATCAAGGAGCTGGGTGTCGGGCCGCAGGCGGAGGAGAAGGTGAATATCGAGACGCAGACGAAGGCGTCGTTTACGAGAGTGTATGTCTTTTTCGTTTCGGTACCTTGCATGAGACAAGGCCTTGAAGCTAATATGTGTTTTTGGTTCGTACAGGTACAACCAAATGTCCCATCCTGTTCCTTTTATGAAGGCAAGCAATATCCTGGCGCCCAAGAAAATGAGCAAGGATATGCCAGATCTGGAGGAAGCGATCGAGGAAGAAGACGACGGCGCTGTTGAGGCTGTCGAGGTTGATGACGACGACGAGGATCTCGACCTCAAGACCGACAAGTATATCAAGCAGCCCAAGGCGAAGAAGGCGGCTGCTGGTAAGAAGAAGGCGAAGGCTGTGGTGGATGATGATGACGAGGATGTGAAACCGGTGAAAGCGAAGGCTCCTGCGAAACGGGGACGGCCGGCTAAGAAGTGATCTGTGCGTGTCATGGGTTGTGGTAGGGTTTGTGATTTTGGGGTTGGGGATGGAGAGGCGAGGATTGGAATGTATGGATAACCTAACCTCTTTGTGCGATGTATTTTTGGCCCAAACGTATCGGTATGCCACGTTTTGTTTTTAGTCATGTTTGTCCAGGTCTAGGTGGTATCAGGTGTGGTAAAGGGAAACGAAAAATTCCAAACAGAAGGTTTATATTACATACATCGTATCTAAAGACGAAATTCCGGCCATGTCCCGATGGTAGATATACAAGCGCCGGGAGCAAATATGGAGAGGCGGAACCAGCATGCCTGCCATTTATCTAGCCAAAAGGTGAAGACAACTTATAGTTAAGTTGACCCGAATAGGTATGGACGAGCTAAGAATCGAACTTAGGACCTTTCGCAAGATGCGATTCTTGGAAGAATCAATCATAATGCTAAGCGAACGCTCTACCAACTGAGCCACACGCCCTTGTTGAATTGTGGATTCCTCTTTGTCGGTATCGTGACTCGAGAATCGTTGTGTCTGAAGGTGTAGGCTGGTGGATTCGCTGACAACCGCCGCTGGGATGATATTTTTTGCCAAGTACATAGTAGTTCTCCTGTTCCGTGGGCAGCTTAGGAGGTACCAGGTATGCTCTACGCACAAGTCTTGTCAGCACATATGCTCCGCTAGCATCGGCTATCGCAATCACTTTTGCTGGCTCAAGAAGGATTCTGTACACGCTGCATGTGCGAGAAAGGGCGGGATGTCTTCTTATGCAAATCAGAAGTAGCCAAAGATGACTGTTTACGTAGGTTTATATTTCTTACAGAGGCTGGTATTTTCAATAATAACTTGATTTTCTCTTCCCCGGGTGGTTTGTATTCTCCCTCTTTGATCGTATCTGGCGTCTCCTTTCAGGCTCTGCATATAACACCACCACTACGGGAAATGATATCATGAACATTCCATTTTCCTCAATAAAATAACGGCAATAATAATAACGATCCAAGAATAAACGTATGTCCAGTCAGAAACAACACTACCATCATTCATGACAATAAGGATATCACTTAACACTTCATATAGAATGACCAGAAACCATCACTCCCCACTGTCCATATTACCCTTTTCTCCTGTCAAATCAGAACCAAGTAAACAAACCTAAACCCTCTCCGTCCCATCCTTCCTCTCCTTAACCTTTTTCTCCCTCTCCTCCTCATGCTGCCAAATGCCCCTATCCACACTCTTCTCCACCCCAATCACGTCACCGCTCGCATCCGAATCATCACCTCGATCCCCTGCCCAGGGCGCAACCGGCCTCTTGACATGTTGCCTCAGCACAATCCTCGCCCAGAACCAACCCGCCTGCTTGAGTCCGTACCCAACCTGCTTCCTAATCGGCACATCAAACACCCTATCCAGTTCCTCGAGCGTGCGTTCCTTCGTCTCGGGCACCAAGAACAAGACAAAGATGAAGCCGACAACGTTCCACGCGGCGTACCACCCAAACGCGCCCTGCGGCTTGAAGGCATTCAGCAGCGAAGGCCAGGTCACCGCAAGCACAAAGTTGAAGAACCAGGTGATGGCCGTGGCGAGCGACATGCCCAGCGGCCTGATATAAAGCGGGTACGCCTCGGCCGAGTACGTAAATGGCACCGGACCCATGCCAGGCGAGTAAACCATCCCAAACAGATAGATACCAAGTGCAATGAGACCAATATGCGCCGGCGCGCTCTCCGGTATCCAGAAACTGAATCCTGTCAGTAACAAAAACACCGACATCAGCGGAAATGTAACCAGCAACAAATTCCTGCGGCCAAAGGTATCGATGGTATAGAACGCCGGCAGCGCAAACAGCCAGTTGATCAGCCCAAAACCAAGAGAGGCGGCAAGCGCAGACACCTCGGGAAACCCAGCTTCAATAAAAATCTCGGACGAATAGTACGCAATCACGTTGACGCCGCAGAACTGCTGCATGAACATCAAGCCCGAAGACGAGATCATGGCGTGCCGGTTGCGCGGGATCGTAAACATTTCCTTGATGCGGTCGCTTCTCCCGATAGCCATGGTCTCCTTCTCGACCTTCAACAGGGTATGCATGTAAAACAGATCACGCGCGGCCTGGACCTTTTCGTAGCGCAGCTTGCAGAGGGACTCGAAGGCGTCCTTGTGCCGGTCCTTGGTCAGGTACCAACGCGGTGACTCGGGACAAATAAAGGCCAGACAACAGACGATGACGGCGGGGATCATGGCAGAGCCCATCATCAGGCGCCAGTTGAGGCCCAGCTGGATGCCGTGGTCCGGCACGAAGTAGAAGGCCAGGTCGGCGACGTAGCCTATCATGATTCCGAAGGCGGTCCAGACTTGCCATTGCTAAACGGTGTTAGGGTCGTTTCTCTGTAGAGATGAATGGCAAAGGGGGTAATTACCATGACAAGAGCACCTCTGAGCTTAGGCGGCGAGCACTCTGCAGCAAACATAGGAGTGGTAGCAGATTTCGGACCGATACCCAGACCGAGATAGAAGCGGGCAATAAACATGTGCCACCAGGTATTGGTAAAGGCCTGATGAAAACAGGCGGCCGCAGAAATCAGACAGGAGATGAAGACGGTGCCCCGACGGCCGAAATACTTGTTCATCGGATCGGTAAGCCAGCAGCCGATCAGGGCGCAACACAGGTACGGCGCTGAGTTGACGAGACCCAGCAGCCACGTATCACGCGGGTCTTTCGAGTCGATGCCGAACTGGACCTTGTAGAAAGACTGGGCGCCGTTGACGACGGTCTCGTCCATCCCTTGAACGGCAGCGCACAGGGAGCATACTGTTTATTGCATTGTCTGGTCAACCACCTGCACTCGGTTTCGGGGGAAATGGTACTTACTGATGATAACCCAGTACAGCATAGGCGGATTCGACCACTTGTGGGTGATCTCGCGCTCCAAGACCTCCCGTTCACGGTCGGTGAGATCCGAGATGCCGTCGAACTCATTGTCGTTGCCCGAAATCATGGCGCCGAGCCGGAAGGCGCGAATATCCTCCTCGCTGGTCAGTCCAGCCAGCCGGGCGTACTCCTCGCCCTTGGCTCCAAGTTGGTCTTGGGTTAGGCCGGCCAGCGGGTGAGCAAGCTTCTTGGAAGCCTCGAGCGGATTTTCCGCAGCAGCATGGGGTTTGGAGCTCCCAGCAGCATGGCCGGCACGGTCATGGTGTTCGACCTCGGTTCGTGAGGCAGAGGAACTACTGCGGTGATGATCCTTCTCCGACCTCAAGGGGTCTGGGTTCTTTTCGTTACCCGACGCCATTGTGATATTTTTTATTTTATTTCTTTTTTTTTTTTTTTTTTTTGGGGGGGGGGGGGGGGGGGTCAATCAGACATAGGACTGTCGACCCTGCTAAGAGACGGAGAATATAGCAAGGCTACTTGCAAAGTGTAGATAATTTGAACGGAAAAGGGAAGTGAGACGGGGACAGGCATGATGGCTACACTATATACACTTACATGGCATCTCCCAGACTTCTGGAAGGACGACCTCATGCCGATACCCAGTGCCCCAGAAGCCCTGCCGTCACCTGGACGGACCCAATTGGGGCACATTGGACAAAGCTTCTCATTGAACAAGCCTTGAAGTCCACTAGCCAGGCCAAGAAAGAAAAAGAAGCAAATGAGAGCTCTGCGTGTCTCACCCGTCCGCAGGGCTGATGACGATCTCTGAACCAGCAGAGACAAAAAAGGCGGTCGAAAATACGCAGACCGGCGGCAGGGACCTGTGGAGGTCAGGGCATCAGACCTGGGGTATTGTCTGGGGTTCGGGCCCGTTCCGCGCGAGAAACGTGAACGTCGACGTCATCCTGCACGCCGACGGAAGGCTGCAGATGATGGGAAGCAGCAAAAAGTCCAGGTAGTCACGTTTGGCAGAACGGGATCCTTCTTGGCGGGTCTGTCAGGCCGAAGGTACTGTGTAAGCTTTTCGGCTTTGATGGCCGTTCACATTGGCAAAGCTTGTTGAAGCCGTCTGAAGGATTCGATCGACAAAGGCAGGTTGTGTGGTTGTGCGGTTCTGATGGAGGGAAAGGAAGTCTTGGCGCAGCGTGCGGAGGAGGAAAGCAAAGAGTTGTGATGGGAATCGATGACGTCGATCCCGCAGAACTCGGGGAAGCTTCTTATGGAATCCGTCCAGCAGGAGCTGTTTGTGCGGGGAATAGGCTCGGGGTTCCCGTTTTCAAAGATCGGCTGGTCGGTTGCCGGAAGGAGACATTTGTTCGCAGTCTCCAATACGCTATACGCTGCCGTGTGATTGACAAGTTGAGAAGGCTCCAGTTGATTTCAGAGCCATTTGGCAGGTAGTACGGCCGTAAACCGACCCAAGTTGAGGAGAAGAGGGAATGGATGGAGACACGTTACTATCGTTGTTTCGCAGGCTCTTCACCTTATGAATGAAAATTTCAAAACAATAACCAATCACAAATGGACGGCGTGGTGGCAGAGCGGTCTAATGCCTACAAATAAGTGAACTATTCCTCCCTGCTTTTACCAGGTTAAGTGGAAGAAGGCAAAGCAAAAGAGAACCGGTCAGCTGCCATTTCTGGCTTATAATAAATAATTTCAAAATAGTAAACAAATTAAAAATGAATGGCGTGGTGGCAGAGTGGTCTAATGCGCATGACTCGAAATCATGTCTCTTCGGAGGCGTCTGTTCAAATCAGGCCCACGTCGAATATTTTTATTTTGTACCTTATTTCTTTTCCTTTCCTCCCCTCTTTTGCTTCCCCTTTTCTCGCGTTTTTCTCTCTTTCAGATCCAGCATGACTCGAAATCATATCTCTTCGAAGGCGTTTGTTTAAATCAGGCCCCCGTTGAATTTCTTTTTACTTCTCCCTTTTCCAGTACACCAAATGACTCTCATTTTTCTCCCTCAGATCCATAAACAACACAACGAAACAGAAATGGCAGCGCGTGTTCGGTAAAGGCAGTCTTTCCCACCAAATGGTGTCTCTTCATCCTACACCAAAACTCCATAAGGCGAAGATAAGAACCGAATATTAAAAGAAAAAGAGGAAGCTTCGCAGTCTTCGACAACAACTAGGTAAATTCGTACTTATCAACACTGAAAAATAGGCTGAGCCAGAGTTTGAGCCAACCAAACAACCTGGATATAACAACAACAAAAGACAGCAATGGTCTTCAGCGATCCGATCTCAGAACGAAGAAACTCAACCAGCTGCTCTATGGTAAGGCGACTCGGGTCGGAAAACAGACGTATTTTCGTCCATGCCTTACAGCCAAATATGATGATGGCAGCCGGGGAGAAGGAGGAGGACAGTAACTCTTTGGTGGCGGCACACAATGCCATTTGTCATAAACATGAGTCTGTGGTGATCGTGGCGGTGGTGGCGGCGGACGAGTACGAGGACGAGGCGAAGGAGAAGGAGGGACATCAAAGGAGACGTGCTTTTTCTGTTTCTCCCGATGAGAATTGTGATTCTTATTT